CCCCACACACACACACAAAGGCCTGACTGACTGCTTATGTATTATGTGGTACATGTACGAGAATTGAGACTTCCAAATAACAATATGCAGCTATTCTGGCATCTCTTCTCTGCTGTAAGTTGTAAATGTGAGGGGAACAGTCTGGGCAGGTGACCCGTAGCTATATTACGTGGTTATGCTATGTATTACTGGACTTACACTTTACGTTAGCAGATGTCGAGAGAGAGAGAGAGAGAGAGAGAGAGAGAGAGAGAGACAGAGTACTCTCGGCTGTGAATACATGCGCACGCACACGTATATTTCACCAAGACAAAAAAGAGTCTTCACACGAAGATTGCACAGCAGAATCATGTTCCTTGACGTTGGGCAGTCGGGCGGGGCTATACATTAGTAGAGGGACCTCGTTGAACCGCCAGCCCTGTTGTTCCGCCAACTTCATGCCTGTCCCAAGGGTGGCGGTATAACGAGGTTTGACTACAATATTTTGTGTGAAAGTGTATGAGTGTGAACACCAAGGTCTGGTGAGAAAAGGGGAAACTTATAATTACCTTCATCTCAATATAAATTCCGATTCACGTTTTGACAGCTGATGTTCCCGCGGGTTATGTAGAAAAGAACAAAACTCGCATCCAGGCACAAAAAAATGGCCTTTAATTTAATAAGTGCTTCTTGTGGGAAAAACAGGGGTGGGTCGGAAAAGGGGGGGGGGGGGGAGGGCGTTAAGTACATTATCATGTGAACTTCAAAGTCAAAGGTTGAAGTAGAAATAATATTTTATCAAGAAGCGGGTTGTATTTTAGGTACATTAAAAAACAACTGCCCAAAGTCTAGCAGCATTTTCCCTTCCCATTATGTTCCTTTCGTCGCTTCAGTTGAGACATGATAAAATTAATTTCAAGAGCAGAGGAACAACGAAACTGCCGATGGACGGCTGATGTTGATTCTCGTATCTTTTCTCAGTGCCGACGTCATGATTTTTAGATTTCAAGATGGCCTCCTCCATCGAAGTGTCTGCGAAAGTTCTATCGGTGAGTAAAATTCTTGTAGAATGTGAGAGAACAGTGTTGATTTAATTGAAGCTGGTTCTCTCTCAGAACTTTTAGATTGAAAGCTTTGTGCTTATAATGTTTGATGTACTTTCAGTTCTCAAGCCAGATATGCAGTAGATAATTTTCCCTCTGCCTTGGACTTGTTGTTACCAGCTGTTTCTACAGACACACTTGTGACTGCTACACACTGTGTTGTCTAAATGAAATGTGAAATTGAACGCTGGACAATTAGAAAATCTAGATCTAGAAAATCTAGATCTAGATCTAGATCTAAAGTGAAAAGGACTGTGAAAATAAAGTAATAAAGTCGATGCAGTAGAAATTGAGATTCTTATAATAGACCATTGATGCCCTCTCTCTCTCTCTCTCTCTCTCTCTCTCTCTCTCTCTCTCTCTCTCTCTCTCTCTCTCTCTCTCTCTCTCTATCTATCTCTCTTTCTCTCAAAGATGATGCTTTCGGGCGGATGTCGGGTGCTCTAGTGTGGTTGCTCACCCTCTCCTACCAAACATGTATCTCCCTTGTCTCTCCA